GAGGATTAGAGGACTAGAGTATTAGAGGACTAGAGAACTAGAAAACTAGAAACTAGAGAACTAGAAACTAGAAACTAGAGAACTAGAGAACTAGAAACTAGAAACTAGAGAACTAGAGAAACTAGACGACTAGAGGACTAGAGAACTGGAGAATCAGAGAACTAGAGAACTAAAGAACTAGAGAACTAGAGCACTAGAGAACTAAAGAATTAGAGAACTGGAGAAACTAAAGGACTAGAGGACTCGAGGATTAGAGGACTAGAGAACTAGAGAACTAAGGAACTAGAGACGTAGAGAATTAGAGAACTGGAGAAACTAAAGGACTAGAGGACTCGAGGTTTAGAGGACTAGAGAACTAGAGAACTAAGGAACTAGAGACGTAGAGAATTAGAGAACTGGAGAAANGAACTAGAGAACTAGAGAACTAGAGAACTAGAGAACTAGAAGTTTAGAGGACTAGAGAACTAGGGAACTAAAGAACTAGGTAACTAGAGAACTAGAGGACTAGAGATCTTGAGGATTAAAGGACTAGTGATCTAGAGAACTAGAGGACTACAGAGCTAGAAGACTAGAGGACTAGATAACTAGAGAACTAGAGGACAATAGGACCACAGGACTAGAAATCTAGAGAACTAGAGAACTAGAGGACTAGAGGACAAGAGGACCACAGGACTAGAAAACTAGAGAACTAGAGAACTAGAGGACTAGAGGAAAAGAGGACCACAGGACTAGAAAACTAGAGAACTAGAGAACTAGAGGACTAGTGGACTTGATGACTAGAGGAATAGAGAACTAAAGAATTAAAGGTTTAGAGAACTAGAGAACTAGAGAACTAGAGAACTAGAGAGCTAGATAACTAGAGAACTAGAGGACAAGAGGACCACAGGACTAGAAAACTAGAGAACTAGAGAACTAGAGGACTAGGGGACTTGATGACTAGAGGACTAGAGAACTAAAGAACTAAAGGTTTAGAGAACTAGAGAACTAGAGAACTAGAGAACTGGAGAACTAGAAAACTAGTGAGATGAAGGACTAAAGGACAAGAGGACTAAAGAACTAGAGAACCCCCTCTTCTTCTTTATTGCCTTGCAATGATTGACCTTTCCATAAATGGATATATTGTATTATGAAAGAATATAATCATAAATATATATTTTCCGAATGTAATAAGGATTTAATATGGATAATATTTCACAGTCTGTCACTTGGAATAATAACGCAATGTAAACACAATATACAATATAAACACATAATACCTCTCTCGAGCAACAATACTCAATTAATTGAATTAGACCGGATGTGGCTGAAAAATGATAGAAAAAAAAACAGATAAAATATTTTTTTCTTTATTTTGTATGACAAAGTTTCTCCGATCTGGATGAACAATGACAATAAGGTCTGGTTGAACCCAAAAATTAAGAAAGTTAAAACAGTTAAACGTTTTTTTACATTTTCTATGCGAATATTACTGATCAATTAACATCAATTGGAGCCATGGTGTGTAGCAAAAGAGAGGGTATTCTATATTTTTTAGAAATTATTTAACCCCCCCCCTGAATACAAGTTTGGAAGGAGTGTGTGTAGTATATACTAAAAGTATGTTGAACTATTTCTATTTCTATTGAATTCTATTAGTATTCAAGAAGAATACTATATTTCTACCTCCTACATATATATAATATATTAAAAATTAAAAGCTAAACTAAAAATAAAAATATAATAAATAGACACCTTGTATCAAATATATTCATTTATATACATATACATACTTATATACATATATAGATATATTCAATGGTTTTTTTTATACATATATGCATATATTTATATATTAAATAGGTTCATACACATATATCCTTATGTACATTGTGGTTGTAAATATCTTTTTTGATTGAAAAGTACATTATTGATTATTTCATACATATGTATATGTATGTGTAATATATAATATAATAGATATTGATATGTATTATATTACACCCTTTTAATGATTGCAGAGAAAGCAAATCCACATAACTCAACCATTTAGTATTCTGTATACTCAGTATACTGAGATATTCAGTTCTTAAAGTAATCTTTGTGTCTACTGTGCAGTGTGGATTTTCGCAGAAAGATGTGTGAGCGTGTCTAATAAAAAGTAGTTTTATTGATGGTGAGATATTTGAAATTATTATTCTTTGTTGGTTGGAATCGATAACACAAACAGAGCCGTTTTATTCAATATATTGTGAATAGATGAATAGTAATATGATAATATTAGATATATTGTGTCTATATATATATATATATATATTCTCGCATTCAATATCACAAAAAACCCACGGGATATATATATTTTGCATAAATGCCCGGGTTTTCTTTATGCCCAGGGCAGTTTGAGATAAAAACATTTATATCATATTTCGGGAGTTTGATGGAATCTGAGGGTATAAAGAAAACAATATATAATATCATCCAAAGGGACTGGTCATTTTTTAAACTGCAGGGTTGGAAATATTGGTAAGTAAGGTGTCAGGTTCTGATTTTTTTTTAAATGGTCAGACCGGCTATGTAAGGTAGTTAAACTGAGTATGCAGTGTTGTGAACAAATTCTTTAAGTGTCATTTGAGACATTTAAAACGTTTCCACGATGTGTAATTACTAAGTTTGAGCGCAAAGTCGACGTTCAAAATCATGAATTTGGGTGGGTACGTTTTTCTTAAAAGAAATTTGTCAATATAAATGGAAGTTAGATTTAATTATTTCCTTTTTCATCATTAAATTGAATTTCTTATTTTCTATGAATTTGTTCGCAGATTTCTTCAAACTCTTCAAATGTAGTCTTTTTAAAAAAAATTCCAGAAAATCTGCAGAAAATCTTTGTGATTAAAGAGAGATTACAGAAACCATTAATTTAATATGATTACTTATTTTCGATAATAAGATAAATTTTTTTTTCTCAACCTGTTCCTAAACAAATAATAAGTTGACTGTAGGATTTAGTTTTCCTTTTTTTTCGTCGTTATTTAGTAATTAAAATTCAAACTCAGGATTTACAAATCTTAAACGTTTTATATGTCTCAAATGAATCCTAAAGAATTTGTCCATCTTCTCTTTTCAAGTTAGAAACAACCCGACGATTTCTTTAAGGGGACTGTCAGGCAACATAATTCTAACTTACCTTCCATCTGAAGAGTTACATATTCATAACGGTATCCTGTAATCCATGTTGGGAACAGATCACTAAAATCTATAGATAAAAGGAGAGGGTCGAATTTGTGCAAAATTACAAGTAAAACTTTGTGACCTCGTAGCTCAGAGCTCCTCTAGCTTTGTTTTTACGAATTATGGGATTTCAATCTTACGTGAAAATTGAAATATTCAAAAACGTTTAGATATTTATTAAAGGAATTGACTCTTTAGATATTTATTAAAGGAATTGACTCTTTAGATATTTATTAAAGGAATTGACTCTTTAGATATTTATAAAAGGAATTGACTCTTTAGATATTTATAAAAGGAATTGACTCTTTGCAACAAACTCTGATTTTCTAATCCCTATATCTTTGGATTCCAATGTCGTAAACCTTTATAATTTCAAACTTTGACTTTTGTTAGATCAAAAAATATAAGTTTAAAATATCAAAGGTTTACGACATAGGGTTCCAAAGATAATGGGACTAGAAAATCAGAATTTGTGGCAAAGAGTCAATTCCTTTTTATTCATGTTTACTCTTTAATAATGAAGAAATAAAGAAATTTCTAATTTATATTTATTTAGATTTATTCAATATTCATTTATATACGATACAAAATCATTTTGAAAAGTCCATTTTAAAGGGTCTGTTAAGCGTAATTATAAGAGACCGATCTCCATCCAAAAATGGCAGTGCCCGATTTACAACGGAACACTTAAAAGCTTTGTCTGATCAAGTATAAATGAGATATCAATGTTTACAATTTTAAAAACTGATTATTTAAAATTTATTTATAAAAATGACTTGTGCCTTCACGTCGTATGTAAACATATTGGAATTATTAGAATTTATCACTTTTAAACCTTGAAAAACAACAATATCTTCCCCATTCTTTATCAGATAAAGGTTTCAAGAGCACCGTTGTGAATCGGACATTGATATTTTTTCGGGTCAATTGAAATTACCCTTATAATCCCTTTACAAGAATATCTGTATAGACCCATCTATACATGATAATACAGTTTTAAAACAGAGAGGATTAGGTTTAATTTAATTTGTCTCTCTCTGCACGTACAATTGCTCCCTGCAAGAGATGTTAAACGTAACTTAAAGGGAGTGTTCGCAAAAATTAAAGGGGGTATAGGCTTACAGCGAAAAATAAGCGCTTTTGATCGCTACTAATCTTACTTCTTTCTGTTGCGTCTATAAGGAGATAATCGTTTAAAACGACCCATGCTGAAGAAAGTAGCTTCCATACAAAATCAGAAAGTTTTAACATTCAACTCGGATCGTAAAATAATCAATTTAATTCAAAACAAATCATTCAGATATTACAAACAATAGTCATCGATTTTTTTCGAAGCATTCGTATATAGTTAATATTTCATAATGTTTTTAATTCGTTTTTTTAAATAGTTTTTCACTGGCGCTGGATTTTCGAACATTCCTGGAAAATATGAAAATGTCGCCTGCATTATAAAAAAATCCTCGAAACAGGAATAAATGTTCTCAAAAGTAACTCTCTGATCATGAAAATTCAAAAATATTAAGAAATATCAATTATATAGGTGAATGTGTCGAAAAATTATCGATGATTAATGGTTGTAATAACTGAATGATTTGTTTGGAATTAAATTGATTTGTTTACAATCCGAGTTGAATGTTGCAACTTTCTGAATTTATATGGACGCTACGTGGACGCTACGTGGACGCTACGTGGACGCTACGTGGACGCTACGTGGACGCTACGTGGACGCTACGTGGNATGATGATGACGCAGATACTCAGAGTCGTTTAAAACATTTTTCTCCTTAGAGACGCAAGTAAGATTAGTAGCGATCAAAAGCGCTTTTTTATCGCATTAATCCTATACCATTTTTCATTTTTCGCGAACACTCCCTAACTTAAATCATTTTTCCAGAGCAATAATTCCAAATTACAGGAAACAGAATAAACTAAATTAGATGAGAGACAAAAAATCCCCGAAAAGGTTAGACAAAAGAAAATGATATTTCTGGTGTAAAGGTCAAATTTTGGAAGCATTATTTTTTTTAATCTCGTGTCTATTTTAAATGAAACTGGTCGTCTGCTCTTAATACAGTAATCTCATTTAAAAAAAAGATTGTTTATATCGTCTTATTTTAATGTACATTGCACAACATTAGCAATTTATGTACATAAGTTCGTTCTACACTGTACAAAGATCTGTCAACATAGCGCTGTACAGCTGTTATCTAGTACGCTGTTGAGATTAAAGGATCTGTGACTCTGAAAACAAAAAACTTAATAAATCTTATATAAATGATATTTATAGTTTTCCTTAAAAAAAGAGGAACACTGAACAAGGATGTATTAAAAAAAAGTTTATTATAACATTTTCGTCAACAAATATTAATATCATAATAATACTTATTATACTAGAGTAAAATTTTGACGGTAATCAAATACAGTTTGATGTAACAAATCATGATTCCATTATAATTCGTCAAATAATTTTAAGAAAAAGAGTTTAGAAATTTGTAAGGGAAATAGATTTGTAATGTTGTTGTTTGCATGTAAGGTCAAAAGGAAACAACTATTTTTTCCACATGTATGGCCTTAAAAGCCTCCCCCCCTTGTTTCCTTAATTTTATATACGATTCCCTGCAACTGTAAACTTTTTTTGCCAAATCATTAAATCAGCCATTTAAAGACCGTATGCAAGGCAAAAGACTTAATTTAAACTTGGAATCGTCATATTTTAAGAGATTCAAGTCGTCTTTACAATCTCATCCTTTGTGGGTAACCCTGTACCATACATTGATTTTAACTAACCAAATATTTTTTCATAATTTCTTTTTTTACCTGGATTCTTTTCCAGTATCTACAAGCTGGTCCTCTTGCTCTCCTTCATCTGCTATTTTCTCTAAATAATTTCATTTTTAGAGTTTAGAGCATAGATAAAGATAGATTGCGCATAAGACGACATTTTTCATCTTGAAAGATATAAATGTACAGAGATGTTTTAAAGATATTCCTATTGTATAGATTAACTAGGTCGGTTGTGAACATTGGCTGTTCTTATGTCATTGAGTACTTGTGGTGTACATGAGTTCTGTAGAGAGAAATTTAAGTTAGCTTAGTCCTTCTCATGTCCTTCTTAAGTTCTGGTCAATATGATTTATTACTCAGTGAAATATTGTTGTTCAAATAGTTCCATTCCCGGAGTTATTCATGAAATCCATTAAAACACCAAACCACCCCGCTTATCATTGAAGTACACATTTGGAGAAGTTCGAGTTCGCAGACTGTACAATTCTTGGTGATTTTGCGTACATAAGCTTTCTATGTTTATTTATTTATCTATGGTTTAGAGTTGGTCAAACCAAAAAAAGGAAAAAGATGTTGGGCGCCATTAGAAACTCCAAAAAGTTCAGAAAGATTAATTCCTGAATTCAAACTCCTAAATTCATACTCTTGAATTCAAACTCCGAAATTCATACTCTTGAATTCAAACTCCTAAATTCAAACTCTTGAATTCAAACTCAGCTGAATTTAAACTCCTAAACTCGAACTCCTTAAACTCCTGAATTTAAACTCCTGAATTCAAACTCCGAATTCAATCTTCTGAATTTAAACTTATGAATTTAAACCCCCTGAATGTAAAACCCTGGATTCAAACTCCCGAATTCAAACTCCTGCAAACACAAAGTTCTGATTTCAAACTCCTGAATTTAATATCCTAAATTTTATCTCTTGAATTCAAACTCATGAATTTCATAATTATAGTATTTCTGTCTTTTGGTGGTTTTCCGGAATATTTTAGGAATGAAACTTAAATCCACCAATTTGAAAGTTTAAAAGTGGATATATAGATTAGTCGATATGGCTAAGCGTTTTTACATCTTTTGTATTCTTATTCTCGACTTCGACTCGGGATCGATTAAGCATTTCTCTTCAACTTAAGCAGACTAGTTGATTAAATATACTTCTCTTTCATGTCCCGTGGTATAATACATGCAGGGATAACTATAGAATGAGGGAACAAGCATTGATTCTCAAATTTAAAAGTGTCCACATTGGATATCAAAATCAAGCGGCAAGATTATCAATATTGCACAAAGCTTTCCCAGGTTAAACTTTATTCTTAGTTTCCTTTACTTTAAAATTTGTATTCTCTTTAAACCTTCCTAGCAGTGGCAATTCTTTTATGTTGGTTCTATTTTCTTTTCTTGCTAAATTGATTCTTTCGTTAGATCTTAAACAAGATTCTAAGGGTTCTAAATTAAGGGTTAGAACCTTGCAATTTATCCAGTTGAACATACACATTTCATAGATATTTTTTATTTCTTTTATCTTTTAAAAAAAACAATTTTCTTATCTGTTTTTAAAATAAAAGAGGGAGTCTGAATTTTCAATGAAATCATCAAATTAGATCAAATCAATCATTTTAAGTGTATGTTTTTGTGGATGTAAAAGTAGATGTAAAAGTGGATTTAAAAGTGGATGTAAAAGTGGATTTAAAAGTGAATGTAAAAGTGGATGTAAAAGGGGTTGTAAAAGTGGATGTAAAAGTGGATTTAAAAGTGGATGTAAAAGTGAATGTAAAAGGGGATGTAAAAGTTAATGCAAAAGTGGATATAAAAATGGGAGTCAAACCTTATAGAAATCCAACGTAAAGCAACAAGGCGTATTTTCCGTGAGAATATTTTTTATATGTATTTTCGAGAAATTAAACGTTTTTGTAAAACATTGTAGCTTATCACTATCATTATCATAATTTCTATTTTTTAACATAACCTAGACATTAAAGGAGCAACATAGTTTAATATGTACATTTGTACTGCTCTCTATTGAGCTTAAGGTCCTCCAGATTTTATTATGTACTGACAACATAAATTAATGATTATATGGTTATACATAAAATTGCGTGTTACTATTAAAAAAAATTATTTTATAAAAGTGCTATCTACAGTTTTTATTTTTAGAAAAAAAAATTTCTTAAAAGTATAAAAAAGTTCTCCAGTAATGCTAGTATGATTTCATAAAATTCCGTCTTACCATTTAAATAAAAGGATTTTATGAAAATTATATCTACTTTACACTGATTATTTAAATTGGATTTCTACAAGGTTTGACTCCGTAAAAATGGATGCAAAAATGGATGTAAAAGTGAATGTAAAAGTTGATGTAAAAGTTTATGTAAAAGTAGATGTAAAAGTGGATGGATGTAAAAGTGGATGTAAAAGTTAAAATGCGAGACTCTAATAAAAAGTGCTAATTGTAAGGTTGGATTGAAAATCTAAAGGATTTGACCTTAAAGAACCAAAAAAACATTTCCATGTTTTTATTGCGTTCAAGTTTTCTTGGATTTAAACTCTTAGTATTAATCTCATGATAATGAGAAAGATTATAGTTACTAAGAACAAGACATAAACTTGAGACTTAAAGGGAGTGACCGGCAATGTATGGTAGTTGAACTGAGAATGTAGTATTGTGGAGAAATTTTTTAGTATTTATTTAAGGCATATAAAACGTTTTAAAAGTGTATAATTAACTTTTATCATTGAAAATAAGTAATATTATTGAGATATTGGTATTTTAAGTATCTCATTGTTCACAAATATTTTCTGTAGATTTCCTGGAATTTTATTTAAAAGACGACATTCGAAGAATTTTAAAAAATCTGCGAACAAATTCGTAAAGAATAAGAAATTCAATATGAAGATGAAAAAGAAATAATTAATTCTAACATTGATTTCTATTGAGAAATATGTTCCTAAACATTAGATTATAGTTACTAAGAACAAGACATAAACTTGAGACTTAAAGGGAGTGACCGGCAATGTATGGTAGTTAAACTGAGAATGTAGTATTGTGGAGAAATTTTTTAGTATTTATTTAAGGCATATAAAACGTTTTAATAGTGTATAATTAACTTTTATCATTGAAAATAAGTAATATTATTGAGATATTGGTATTTTAAGTGTCTCATTGTTCACAAATATTTTCTGTAGATTTCCTGGAATTTTTATTTAAAAGACAACATTCGAAGAATTTTAAAAAATCTGCGAACAAATTCGTAAAGAATAAGAAATTCAATATGAAGATGAAAAGAAATAATTAATTATAACATTGACTTCTATTGAGCAATATGTTCCTAAACATTTAATTAGTTTATTGTAGAATTTTTGTTACACTTTTCGTCGTCGTTTTTAAATAATTTTTAAAAAACCGATTCTCAAAATCATCCCTTCAAAATGAATAATCTATATGAGGGGTTTTCTACAATATTGCATTCTCAGTTTAACTACCATACATTGCCGGTCACTCTTTTTAAAGGAGGGGTGGGCGGAGAATATATGCTTAATGGTGGGTTTTCTTCAATACAGACAAAAAAAGACAGAAATTATCTCTGTTCAAGATTGAAAAAATTTGCGATAGAGGTTAAACAAGTTTACTTTTTTACCGACGGTGGGTCACTTTTATATATGACAAAATTCTTTTTGTTTATCTGATTTCCCAAAGAAAATGAATATATTTTAACCATTTTCTAACTTTTAACATTAAATTCTCATCCTTTGTGGGTAACCCTGTATTTACAGTAAATACATCTTAAACTGCTATTCAATCATATTCATATATAAATATATATTATTATTCATTATTATAAGATACTGACCTTCTCTGATAGGTTCTGAAAGTGTGGGACCTGTATGAATAAGTTGAGGTTCAGAAGTTGGTAGCATGACCCCACCACCACTATCATTAGGAGAGACAGCATTATTAAAGGGACAGGAAACGTAATTTCAACTGACCCTCCATGGAAAGATAGCGATGCACGATTTACTACGGTGCCTCAAAAGGTTTGTTTGATCAAGTATGAGTTAGATATCCATTATTTTGTTCATTTAGTCTGTTTATTTTCATTTGTGTTTTCTCTGTGAAAGTTACTTGCGCATTTCTTGCTTATAAGAAACAATGATTTCATTAACCGGGGCTTGATGTATTCGGTTTCTTTAATTTGAATGTAACAATCTTAAACTTACTACATGGAGGGTTGTTCTATTTTAATTTTTTATTTTGAACGCTGCCGCCGACGAAAAAAATATGAAAGAGATAGAGAAAATAATATGTTTAGTTGATCAAATTATGATAGAAAGTCACAGCTTCTTGCAGAGCCAATGATCGAACCGTCAAATCAGCGTGAGATCGGTAAATCCAATTATACGGCAACGATTGGACCTTATGAGCTAAGTCCATATGTAGTTTAACTTGTTTGAATGTTGGCCTTCTTCCTGATTGTTAGGTTTAGTTTGATGTTTGCCGCAGTACCAGCTGTAGTGGGCTGTCTAGGAGTTATCATTGTCTAAATAGTCAACGATCATCTATCTATCAAACTCATGTAAATCATCATTTAATTTTATCAAACTCTTGTAAGCGATAATTTTATCTTTCAAACTCATGTAAACGATCATTTATCCATCATTACCTAGCAAAATCATGTAAGCGATCATTTATTTATCAAATTCATGTAAACGATCATTTAATTAATCAAACTCATGTAAACGATCATTTATCCATCATTAATTATTAAACTCATGTAGCGATAATTTTATTTATCAAAATCATGTAAACGATTATTTATCCATCATTACCTAGCAAACTCATGTAAGCGATCATTTATTTATCAAATTCATATGAACGATCATTCAATTAATCAAACGCATGAAAACGATCATTTATCCATCATTAACTATTAAACTCATGTAAACGATCATTTATTTATCAAATTCATGTAAACGATCATTTAGTTTATCAAACTCATGTAAACGATCATTTTATTAACAAACTCATGTAAACGATAATTTTATTTATCAAAATTTTGTAATTACGATCATTTACCAGAAACTCGTTGTATGATATCCTTCCGTCCTGATCCCTGTCCGCTACACTAAACATCTCCGCAATGTCGTCTTCTGATACATACACAGGTAGACGGGACATCATGTACTCAAACTCTACTCTACTGTACAGTACAACATTATTCTTTCATGTACAATGTGAAACGTTATTATTTTATGGTCAATGTACAACATTATTCTTATATGTACAGTGTACATAATTTGTCTCAAGTGTACTGTGCACAAAACATTATTCAGTGTACGATATTACTCTTTTATCTACATTATACAGTGATTATAAGCATAAAGGACAATGAAAATCCCTTTTCTCTCGTAAATTAAAACCTTCGTGAACGAAAGGCCAAACAAGGGAGTATCTTATTAACATTTTTAACTATTCATTTATTTCATTGTCACGTGATACAGACTGAAATCACGTGACCAGTATACTGCACTGCCTTTGGAAAAAATAGATTTCAATCTAACGTATAATTTACTTTAGTTTAACGTGATGTTCATAATAAACGTATATTTTGTGAATAATGTGTTCCTAAAAGATTTTTCCGATATTTTATATTTCTTGGCTCGGAAACGAACAGGATGAGGCTCGGTGCCGCAAATATTCTGAAACAAGTTTTCATTAAATGTTGAGACCAGGCCAACTTTCAAGTGTCGCTAAACCTTTGACCTTAGTTTGAAAACTCCATTTGCACTGGTTTGCTGGATATGATATAGCACTAGCTCACAAGTCTTTTGATTTACAGTTTCAGTTTAAAAGGAGTAGTTGGCAATATTTTGACGGATTGTCCTAATCAAAATTTTTTGTTTAAAAGGTCTAACATTTTTGCGTTCAAAAATTTTTGATTTGTGGTAAGTTTTATAAATATATAAAATATAAAGTCCGCGATCAACTCCTTACATTGATTTTATGCTATTTTTACCCTTTTTTATATTTTTACTGGTCATTGCTTAAATACTTTCTTCTAATCTCGTTGACTGTTAACTGAAGTAGATATAAAACATACAGTGAGAACCAAAAAACTATGGAATAGAAAGACGACATTAGCGATATTTAATTTAATGTTGTCCCTAAGCAAATACTTTTTAAGTAGCTTGTTAAAACATATATTAAGTTACATTGGTATTCTTATTACACCGTAAAATTGCTATATCTCATGTTTATTGGACTCAAATTCATAACTTGAGTCATAAAAGTCATCTTCCTATTCCAGAGTTTTCTGGTTCCCACTCTACCTTGAAAAGTTCTTGTCTAAAATGTTCCTCGTTAAATTCTCTAAATTTCCTGAGACAAAGACGACAGAAATCCGGGAAAAATATTCTTCCTTTCTTTTCCACTTCACACTAAAATAAGGTTTTTTTTAAAAAAGGAATTGTTCGCTTATTTTTAGGTGAACCTCTATTTACCAATTCACATGATGATGACCTTCAAATCTTTTTTCGGACCTGTTAACTCTATATAATTTGATATCTCTGTTTTTTTCCTTTGGAATTCATATTTACAATATATTACTAAACATTTTAATATGTTTTTTTTTGTTTTTGTTTGAAATTTTAGAGTTGAAATAAATGTCTCTTTTTAAAATAAATTTCATTTTGAACCCACGCTAAGAATATAAATTGAATTCATTTCCATGTCATTTGTTTAAGGTTACTGGGAACAGTATATTGCAGTTTAAGGAACTGCAGTCGTGAATAAAAACAATTTTCTGAAGTTAGAACTTTTGTATTGTTAATCTTGGGATCAAGTATTAATCTTCATCTTATTCAGACCACGCACCTCTGAGTGTCTGCTTTATTAACCCAATGTACGAGCGATATAGTACAAACTAGAACCAGAGAGGTTGACCCTGCTCGGAAATTTAATTATACTACGGCTGCCCGTGAGACCAAATGATTGATCTAATACCTCTTTGACATCCGGTGATGATCATAC